CAAATCAGTAGCCTCGGATGAGATCTTACATGAGATAAGTATTTAACACTTCTATAAAGTACAATATTGATTATGTTTATTTTGAATTACAATTGACTCTTAATTCATCTCTCCATCTATATTTTCTTTGGCTTCCAGTTTATTTTCCATGACACAGTAAAGGTGGCATTTATAAAATGTAATTCTAACCATTTCATTCCCTGCTCTCAGGGTCTGTATGATAAGGTATAAGCTCTTTAAAATGGCTACAAAATCTTCAGGCATCAGGCCCACGCCTACAATCAGCCTCATCTCTCTCTATCTTGCATATCATGCTACTCCTTGTTCCACGAGGGCCCTACTAGTTGTTTCCTTTGCCTGGAATGGCCTCGACACATATCCATGTTATTGTCCAAATGAACTACGATTTAAAGTTTCAGAGCACACGCTCAAACAATGATACTGTCCTTATTGTCACCCCCCAAAAGTTAATAATTCCTTTTCCTGAATAATTTTCATACCTTAAAGATATTTCTCTAATTTCTCACATCTCATTGCACTTGTTTGTTTACCTGTATGTTTTCCCCTGATAGACTTTAAAATCCCTAAGAGAAAGTTCTGTTTATCTTTAGATCCTAGAAAAGTACCTGATATAGAATAGACACAATAGATGTTTATTCAATAGATAAATAAATAATGGTCGTTTGAAAAACTAGAAAAATTAAGCCATGTATTTGCCAAGTAATTTCCTAGGCTCTATCTTTACCGACTATATACAGTATTTCAAAATCTAGTCAATGTTTATTATGTGTTTCAGGATACTGTAAATCCATTCGTGGAAGTTTCTTTCCAGCACACTGTATACCAAACCAATACAGCAAGTGGATCTCATCCATGCTGGAATGAGGAAATTAAAGTAGATTTTATGTAAGTTGGAGTTCATTTTTCCATAGCTCCTAAAAAAAGAGCAATAACAAAATTATTTTCTTGAGCCACTTATTGAAAATAATTATTGAAATAGGCTTTATTTAAGCTTTTAAATTATGAAATATTTGATGCACATAAACTAATGTATATTGTATAGCATAATATATAATCTATATGTATATATAAACATAAGTTCTAAAGAAAAGTAAATGAATACCTATTTATTTACCATCCAGCTTAAAAAAATATAATATTACCAACACCTTAGAAGGCCCTTTGTGCCATTACCTAATGGCATCTTCTTTCTTTCTCCCCAGAGGTAATAACCATGAATTTGTGTTTATCATTCTTTCTCTCCTGTACGATTTTACTTCATAGGTATTCATCCCTAAGTATGTATTATTTACTTATGTATGTTTTCAACTTTATATAAATTGAGTTATATTTGTGTATTCTTCTGTAATCTTGTTTCTTTAATCTTAATTATTTTGAAAGATTCATCCATGTTCATGCTTGTAGCTGTTTGCTGTGGTCTAAATGTGCTCCCCAAAATTCATGTGTTGAAAACTTAACTCCCAATGTTGGGAAGTGAGGCCTAATGGGAGGTGTCTTAGGCCATGAGAACTCCACCCTTATGAAAATGGCATTATTTAAAGGGCTTGCAGTGTAGGTTCACTTTCTTCTACTCTTCTGCCATGTAAGGACACAGCATTTGTCCCCTTTTTCCCTTCCACCTTCCACTATGTGAAGACACAGCAAGAAGGCCCTCACCAGACACCAGATGCTGACATCTTGATTTTGAACTTTGCAGCCTCCATAATTGTAGGAAATAAATTTCTGTTCTTTATAAATGACCTAGTCTCAGATACTCTGTTATGGCAGCACAAAATGAACTAAGACATTGTTATTTATTTATTTTTACTTCTATATTGTATTCTGTTGTGTAAAAATGCCATAATTTATTTATACTTTCTTCTGTTGATGAACATTTGTCTTTTTGCTAGTTTTTGCCATTGCAAGCAATATTGCTTTGGACATTCTTGTACTTGTCTTCTGGAGCACATGTGCAAGAGTTTCTTTTTAAGATAGTGGCTCTCAGACCTTTTTAATGTATTCGAATCATCTAGACAGCTTTTTTTTTTTTTTTTTTTTTTTTTTTGAAACAGGTCCTGGCTCTGTCGCCGGGGCTGGAGTGCAGTGGCCCTAAATAACAAAAGGAAATAGTGAAATAACATGTAGACATTTTACATGTTTAGGATACTTTTAATAATAATGGAAAACATTATTACAAGAAC